GTTCCGTAAGAACGATCAGTGAACGCCCCTCTACCATTGTATATTCCCGCTCTAAACTGACAGGGCGACGGGCTCGTGGCCCAGTTGTTAGAGGCGTGGACTTCTAACTAACAGCTCGCGAGTTCAGGACCCAGGTGTTCCACACCTCAGGCTTGGGTATGACTGGCTGACGACGGCTAATAAGCCAGAAATGGCCCTCCCAGTCTCCCCTGTCTTTGTCGGTAATAGCATTCTGCCTAAATCATAGCTTCCCTGCCGACCACTGGTGCTTTTCCTCATAGTTCGAACTGGAGGCGGTACCCCCGGAGGTGATGGCGAACGCGCAAATATGAAAAACGGCTGTAAAACCTGCAGTCGCACCCACCATGTGCCGAGGAGTCTGAGATGTAGGGGCTACTCTCACTCTCTCTCTCTCTCTCTCAGGCCATTGTGCCAATCTTTCCGGAAACCCCGGAGGCCCTCATTCGCGAGAGCTTGATGTCAAAGCGATTACTTCTGGGAGCACTGACGTCGTAGTTGCCTGCGGGAAGTGGATGAGCGCCAAGACGGGGTGCTAACACAGTTCACAAGAGCTGAATAAGTACATTCCAGTTGGTTTCTAAATGACCACCGTCTAGGTTCCTGCAACTTGCAAAAGAGAATGGGCTGTGCGAATTCAGAGTAATGACGGCTGGTGCAATGCCTAGGTATCCATCATACTTGATTCAGTTGGTGAGTGCTGGTTTAGTCTGTTCAGAAATCCGCGGCATAAGTGATGGTGGATGTTTGGGGAATTTCTGCGGGGCGCGCCGGTTTTAGGTGAGGCCCTAATGCCTGGTGTGACAACGGCGCGGAAGCTTTCTAGGTGACGGACAACATTCGCGATGTCGCAATACCGCCTTACAAATGGCCAATTTGTCATATCGGTATCCAGCAAAGCCCGAGAGCATTCCTGTTGCGCGCTCCCCAAACTGTTTGGTTCGCAGAAAGCCGTTGTTGAAGTCCGTTCCTCCATTCGCCAACTGTGAACGCGTTGGGTAGCTACCAGCTGGGCTGACCCTCTCCGCGTGTTGGTCACGAGTCGCTATTCCGGAAAAAATATATTCAGAAGAAATGGTGGCGAGCGAACGTTGCTTTCGATAAATTCTCGTCAGGCCAGTACAGTTATATGGGACGGCGTACAGTGAGTGGGAAAAAATTCGATAAAATTTAGCTTTTAAAATACAGGCTAGGCAAGAGCGAAAGGACGCAGAAAGTTGTATGTGGTTAGTCAACCTTTGACCACAGTAAGCACGGAGCCTGAAGGAAGTTCTTCTGGGCGCATAGGGTCGGTTTTCGTAACTTGATAGCGGCAGCTTCTGCTGTTGCTGACAGGCGCTGGCCCAGTAGCTTAGGGTAGCTCGAGGGAACCTTATAAATCACACGAAAAGCTTCAGCGGGGTCCACACGATGCCCTGAATCCACTGCATGCGCAAAGATGGCACTATCTATTCTCCTAGTTTCACCTTTTGCCAGCCATGCGGGAAGGTGCTCTCATATTCTTTTGGAAAGGCGCCGACTCGTACGACCAATATAGCCCGACACCCTGGTGAGTCCGAAGTGACATAGGATTATGCTGCATGCTAATCAATACTACAACCCCACCTAAGTAATCCTTCCTAATCGAAAACACATTTCAGAATTTTGACCAACATTTCATGAGATCGGTTACGCACTGTATAATGATCGGAGTTCTTGACGTAGCGGCCACGACGCATGGGTCTACACAGACTGCTCCCAATTGTTACATCGTTTGGTCTATTTCAACCTAACTTCCTAACAACACTCATCAGTCCAACTTATCTTCGGATCAAAATCTCTAAGTGGGCATGTCCACATTGCAGTAGGGATTTTATTTGCCTGACGTCTCGTATTCACGCTGGAGCCTGAAATCAGGGGTGTGGAAGCACAAGGGTCGTAGTTGTTGTGCAACCACATGCCTACTCAGACCAACAGCTCCCATATTTGCCGTATATGGCCCTGCTTGCTGCGATAATCCCTTGACCGTTCACATACGAGCCGTTAAGTGCCGTAATTTCATCACCGGTGTTGGCGTGACAATCACTCGGCGCTTCGGCTCACCGATGCTGTCAGTGGAAGCAGGGTTCGCTCCTGCACAATCTCAGCAGTAAATAGGGATGAACCACTGATAGAAGCGAACAGGCGAGTTCCAGGTAGCAGTTCAGAAGACGAAGATGTGATCACTGGAACGAGAAATTTATTTGCCTGACGTTTCGGATTCTCACTCGAACCGCCATCATCAGAGACAGTCGCAGATAAAGGGAATGGTGGCACAAGGGGTGCAGTATTTATGGCAAGTGGCTGCCGTGGGACCATATGCGCACTGTGATTAACAGCTCTCGCAGTCACCGCTGGGGTCGCAATTGATGCGATGGTGGCCTGTCAGTCCGCGTCCAAATCGTTAGTGGTCGTGATTTCGTCATCCGTGCTGGATGCTGCTGTGACGATTGCTCGGCAAACTGGCTCACTGTCACTGGGATAATTTCTCGCCCGCGCCCTCCCCACGTGACTGATTCCCCTGCCCAGGGAGAATCTCAGCACGGAATATGGTGCCGGGAGGTCATTGCGCTTGTTGATGGATTGCGGGCCTGAGAACCATGACTCGAGCAGCTCGCGGCTCACGCGGTTGTCATCTGCTAGTCTGGCTTGGCATGTGGTTGTTCAGTAACTGCATCTTGCAAGTGCTGCACCCCTATGCGTCTAATACCCTTATCTGCTGACGGGTTCCGACGTGAATCAGAAGTGTCAGGTGATTCAGAGGACCAAGTCTCCTTCTCAACTGTCCCCTGGAAGTTGCCTTTTCTCTTGAGCCGATAGAGGCTGTTTTACTGTCAAAAGAGCCCCAAAAACATCGTTTCTCACTACGCGGGGGCCGACAATTCCTGCTTTCGACTCCCATGCACAACTGCTGGTCAAACTGAAGCTGTCTTCCCACTCTACCTACTGTGGTTCGTCCCCTACCCTCTAATCGTTACTTCCTAAATTGCAAACTCCACTCCAGTTGCTGCTTCAGAGCGGTATGCATCTTCCGTCTTATCGTGTTTTTTGCCCTCATGTCATTTTTGGGTTTTCAGGTCCGCGATATCATCCTGGAGGAGTTTGAGAACGCGCCCTACATTTCCATTTCCACAATAAAAAAGAGACTGGCGGAAGGCGGTTGTGAAAAAATCACAGAGAACGCCCTCAGGTCCACCATCAAGGTATGTTTTTTTCGAAATACCACGTAGACATGAACTGCCTACAGAACTAAATACTTAAGCGCCACCAACTAAACATTCGTAATGATCTTGAAAATGGCGGAGTCTTTCGTTGTTTGATCAACACTCATTAGACAAGGTGTAGCACGGTCTCTGACCTACATGAGATGTCATGGAGGACTCTAAGGCGACGATGGAATTAGCTGCAACTGACTAACCCCCCCCCCCTCCCAACATCAAAATCCCCCCTCCTATCAAAGAGGGCCTTAGGCGCTTTTTACCACCCTGTAAGGGCCGTAATAACCTTTACTGTCGAGGGCCACCACTGTCCTGGAAGGGATAGTGACAAGTTAAGTGACGGGTAGACTTGCGATGCACCCGTCGCACTTCCGATGGCAGTACGGAGACAAGAATGCCGCAGAGGTGCACAATGGCCGAAGAGGCTGCAGCCGCCTCTACGCGTGCCACGCATGTGCTGTCTCCTGCCTGTCTGCGAACCATTCAGTAGGACGACTGTGCCATAAGGTCCAAAGAGGGATCGACTTTCTGACTGAACTGCGTCTGGTTGCTTCTACTTGGGGGAAGATCAGGAACTGGGGTAAACTCTTTGAGCCAAGCCAACTGGCTGCGGCGGCCGACGCTGCCACAACAGAGAAACACGAGAACACGGAACGACAGTTTGCCCTGACTTGTTTCCGAACCTAAGGATAGTAATTCACTGATTTTCCTTATCATGGTACAGGCCTCTTTTCCCAGGTTGCTCGGTTTAATGAGTCATACGCTGGTATTCTTCGGTGCGTTGACGCCTTTGAAGACTCTACCTAATATTTTAAAGTCTATATGGAATTGACACTAGTTCCCACTGCGCAGACAATCAAGTGGAAGGGTCGTTTTCGCCTTACTAGCCTTTGCAACGATGTAGATGGAGTGCCACTTCCGCGTTCCTTAATATCTTTAACCACAACCATCAAAGAGGATTTGGATCCCAGTTTAGTGGTGAAAATGTCTGTCTCAACCCCCATCCATCCGCCGCCCAAATTCATCGGTAGTTGACAGCTACTTAGTCGGAATATTCCCATCTCACGCCCTCACTTGATTTCTCACATTGAGTGCTGTTTTTTTCCAACTGTGTATTCTAGAGATACTGCATCTACCGGCACTCAAAGTACTTCCTTCGTTTCACGGTTTCCGACTGACCTTCCCTCGTCCAGTGTATTATTGACTTTGTTATCATGTAAATCCTGGAATTGAAATTTTGCCTAGGATTGACTGTCCCACTGTAATAAACGCATTTTGGCTTGTTTTCGCTCGTTCCAGATCGGTGCGTTTTGATATCAAGCAAGCAGCGAGAAAGAGGACTGACTGCTTCTTGGCTTCTTTTTTTCCGTGGCTCGCATAGTTTATTAAAAATAATTCCGAGTGAAAAGCAGAAAATGTGTGCTCGTTAGCTTGGCTGCCGACCACCCGTCGCGTCCACGGGTGATGGGTAGTAAAACGGCTCTCGGTAGGAGCTGTTGTGGACTGAGGTACGATAACCTGAATTCCACATGAAATGTTGCTGCTAATTTTTTCTCGCCGTCGCCACCAAAGCACTAGAGAAGACAACCTTGAACAAACAACCCAGGCGGACCCTCATCCGTATCGACTACTCCCAGACCCTCAGTGGAAGCGTAGAAGGCCGGACAAATTTGGCAAGTATGGATTGTAACACGGGGAAAAGCTGCCACACTCCAGTGTGAAGTAGTAGTAGTCGGTGGGGAGATGTCATTCTCCAATTCTGCGGCCTGCCTCCACTGTTTCTCTGAAGAAGGACTCGTTCTAGAAGGAAATAACTGAAACATGGTCACTTACTTGCTGGAAGGTCTCAGCCGGCACAAAAGGGCACGCCTCAATGGATAGTTTTGGCAGATGTAAATTTGAGAGAGATGCTTCGCAGGGAATTCCCGTAGAAGGAAACTAAGGGGCAAAACATAGACGGAGAACGTAACACTTGCTAGCTCCGACTCAGTGGCTTCCAAATGTTTCCGGTATAGTTCAACAGCCCTTTGGGTTCCCTCGCGCCGCACTACGACCAGTCGTTCAAGCACAGAGTTTAGCGTCTCCTCCGTCATCTGACAAAAGGAGTGCGAAGGGAAGTAGCAAAGTCTGGTGACTAGGCGAGAATTGTTTAAACGTGCAGGACCGAATGCCCTTCGACGTCCTGTTCCCTAGTCTAGGCGGCCTTCGCTGTATATAAATGCAGTTGGCTTATCGACAGCTGACTGTTGGTATCGCTTAGAATAATTTGGAGCAGGATACAACACGTACGTTATCCATGTGGTCGGAGCTAGTGGGTGGCGGGCAGATGTACGTGGGTATAGCTACTACTTTTTGGTAAAAGAGGTTCTATATCGTGGAAAAACCTTTTGGTAACGATTATAAATTGGAGGTGGGTATGACATGAATGAGGATCGAGAAAACTCGCAAGGTGGACACCGCTAGAAATAATGTTCATGAACAATCATGCGCGGGACTTTACGTTGAACCGGGTTAGGGGCGGAGTCAATGAGGGAAGAACGTCTAAAAGTGTTTTGAAATTTCCCTACGCGATACGCCTTTGTATATGTGTACCCCACTGGTGACTGAATAAACTGCTGATGACGCGGCATGCGAGGGAAGTGGATGTGCATGTGTTCCAGTCTCCCACATCCATCCTTACTGATACCAAAGTTATTGTCCCAGCAGTTAGTAAGCTCTAAAAGTGACGATAGTCAAAGATAAATTACACAGATTATGACTGGCAAACAAAAGGATGGTCCAGCGTGGTGTCAATATGCAGAGCAGTGCGACGAGGCGTAGCCCGAGGAGGCCGTAGAGGGAGGCTACTGTCGTTTTCCGTCAATTTCTTGACTACATAGGAGACGATTCCGTGGAGTATCTGCGTTGGTATAAACTTTATCCCAACGCCAAAGTTTACACGGCACAAACGGAGAAAGGGCTACTAGAATGTGGACGAGAAGTTATTCGGGGATTCAGGAGCATGATGGCGTTTTTGCGACCAGGAATGAAAAACGTCCAAGCGCCCTAAACGAGATAAGGGTAAGCACCGGCAGAAGTTAGAGAGCATAGCTGTGGGGTCAAACTGACTGTCCGAGGGAAGTTAAACAGATAGGCGAACGGCAACTTCTTCGAGGCACAGATACGGAGCAAGGATGAGGCCGATAGTACGTTCTACGTACCCCATGACTCGGTCTTGATTAGAAAGTTCGCAAGAAAAAAGGACATGTACTGAGATTGGACAGATCGTTATGAAAGGCTCAGCTGCCAAACACTGGTAAGGATATGCGGCTCAGACAGCCACCTGGGGTACTCTTGACAAGTTCACGTATCATTGGCTGGGAGAATTTGCTAAACCCGTCATTTGGTCCGCCGACTAGGCTACACGTCTTAACAAGGTTCGCAGCTTGGCTCCCAGTGTGGTGTTGAGCAGGAAGTTAAATCTGATTAGATATTGCTCTTAACTCAAATTCCGAAGAAAGTGTTCAAACTTAGTCACTTGGCTCTATGCTCTTAAAAGCCTCGATGTTTCGAATGCGGTGCGGTGACAGCTGATAAAAAGTTTACGGGGTGAGGCTGAACGAACGTTGGGTCGAATGTTTCACGGTCGTTACCGATCATCACTACGTCAGAGGCCATATCAGGTGAGGTATATAAACATGCTAAGTAGGCGTTTGACCCTCACTGTTGTGGTTAGGATCTCACTTGGTTCCATTCTGTCCGCCCGCCAGCTTGCTACT